AGAGTTAGGGTTTTTGTTAGGTTTAGGGTTAGGGTTAGGGCTAGGTTTAGGGCTAGAGTTAGGGTTTTTGTTAGGTTTAGGGTTAGGGTTAGGGCTAGGTTTAGGGCTAGAGTTAGGGTTTTTGTTAGGTTTAGGGTTAGGGTTAGAGTTAGGGTTAAGAACTGCCGGGCATTTAGGAAAACGAAGACCGTGCCCGGCTGCCGGGCATATAGCCACAGCGTTTAGGAAAACGAAGACCGTGCCCGGCTGCCGGGCATATAGCCACAGCGTACATTAATTACTTAGCAATTACTTGCTTTCTAAGTAGTGTAGCTCTAAATGAGCCACTGAGCATGGTAAATAATTTAATGATGGCATCTTAAGTATTGGTGAGTTAATTCATATAATTCTCCACTAGGTACATAGGTTTGGAGGTTTCTCTAGTAGGCACAGTGTGTTAGCCAGAGACCTGTCTACCCATGTTTTGGAAGGCGTATTCTTGGATCAGACGGGTGAAATTTGATAGAGACGGCATGAGGGCGGCCCAATTTTATATATTATACACCTTGTATAACTGACAACAGCGCTTATAAGAATATAAAATATCAGATTCCTGTCTTTTGGGCATTTCAGACTAAATTTCCTTTTTTTTATTGTAAGGCCCTCCCCCTAGGGCGCTTTGCACCCACAGCATCATCACTTCGCTCAGATGGTGAGACTCCCTGATTTTTCTTCCTGGCTAACACCCTGAGTAGGCATCAGATTGCTAATTATGCATTACTGTAGGACCACTATCCACCCTGCTCTGCATTTATATAGGAAAAAATTCACAAGATTGGAAAAGGGCCTCAGCTTTATAAATTGGTGCATAATTTTCACAGCTGACCCAGTTTATGCTCGAGGTCAATAGCATACTTTTCACGTATTACCGCTTGCCTCCCAACGAATACCACAGATGCTGAAGATATTGGCAATGCATTGTTTTGGGCATTTTCTTTGTGCACAATTTTTCACATTAATTGCTTTTAGTAATTTCAGGTAGGCATTATTCGCCACAAAGTGGCACTTGAAAAGTGGTAGAGATGCATAAGGATAACTAAAGTTAAGTAATGCATCATGGTGTGCATGTAAACATTGACTTTCCACTGTGTCACCACTATATGAGCTGAAGTTGAAGAAAGGTAGCACAGTGGATCTACTTCTGCTGCACAGCAATGCATTGATTCCATATGATTGCACCAGCATATCGAGTGTCACATACGTGTTGCTTTTTTAGGTGCACAAAGTATGCACATGGCTTATCGCATGCATGTGTGTTTGTAACCATGGATGACGTCATCGTGAAGGTCGAACCAACAGATCCAGATGAGGACCCACATGGAACCTTAGCTTGTGCCGAATATGTAAAAATGGAGAGTAAGGACGATGGTACGCGGACGACAGTCGATAGGACTGATACGGGACAGAGTGAAGCGGATCTCTATATAGCAGTAAGTATAGAATTAACCGAATGTCAAGACTTCCCTAGAGCATTCATGTTCATCACGTTGGTGTCTCTTGTTGGCATTTTTTAGTAAATATAATATATTAAGAGCTATGTCCTGATTAGCTGCATTCTACTTTTTTTTCGTTCAGATGTTCCCCCTTCTCCAAGCATCATCAATCTTGGTATAGTATCTTCTGTACATGCTTATCTTGGCAAGTACAAGTGTAGTGACCATGAACATAAATGAAAAAAACATTTCTTGCCCGACACCTCGCAACCAAAGTCTCTCCCTAGTACTTGCTTTCCTTACTTGCTCTGACTGTCATGTTAACTCCGGCCTGAAGAAAGAACTTATTGAAGGATAGCTGTAAACCTGAATCTTGTAATTTACTGAAATTGAGTCCTTTCCTACTGATGGCAATTGTTAACTTAATATGCTTCTGGTGGAAGTATGTTACAACTTTCTCCCATAATAAATAATTCAATTAAAACGCCCTTAAATAATCTAAGCATCTTGTTACAGTATCTGATGTTATATATTTGCCTGGCAGTGTATTGCATGTGTACAATATTCTAGGGTAGAAACTCGGAAGTTTATCTATGAGGAGATGTCACATTTAACCAGTTACTAATTGCAAATTGCAGTTTGTAAGTTGCTTATTTACCGTTTATGCAGGGCTTAGAAGACTGCAGTGGAGCAGATTTTCCATATGTTAGTTTAACAGAGAGTGACTACAGCTCACTTTTCTTTGACTGTGATGATGACCTCTCCGATACAAATGATGACTTCGGTAAGTGGAATAATAGTCATCATCATCATCATCCGGCTTTAGTTTATCCAGGCCTGAATTGATCCTCTCCCGAGGGTGGGGCCTGTTTGACTTGTCGTCGTCAGAGACACCCTCTCCACGCAGAGCGGGTTTGAGGGTCCGTCGTTTCCAAGCCGAGCTTCGCCCGGTCGCTCTTTACCACCTCCTCCCACGTCTTCTTCGGTTTGCCGGGTCCTCTCTGAGAGTCCACCTCGAGCTTGCGAGCTCGAGCTATCCATCCGTTACTGCGTTCAACGTGGCCTGAGCCACCTCATTCTGCCTTTGCTTAGCACGGTGTCGACGTCCTGGATGCCCAGCTTCACGAGGAGTGAGTCCGAGCTCACTTCGTCCTTGATCTTTACGTTGCAGTTTACGTTTAGTAATTGAAGTTTCTTATTTTGTCTTTCTCATCAGAAATTCGCCTATCGACTTGTTACCTGTTGTTGTTGTTGTTGACCGACTGTTGTTACATGAGAAAGAATACTAGTTGCAATATGCACGCGAAATCTTACATGCCATGCAGAAGCATGCCTTCTACCTTACCTTACCTTACCTTACCTTACCTTACCTTACCTTACCTTACCTTACCTTACCTTACCTTACCTTACCTTACCTTACCTTACCTTACCTTACCTTACCTTACCTTACCTTACCTTACCTTACCAGTGTCTGCTACATTTCAGATGTCTTCGCTTTGACCGGTGGCGTACCTGTCTTACCCGACCAAGATGGGTTGATAGAGATGCCTCAGGGACTGGCTGTGAGCGGTTCCAAGGTCGCGCGCTACAACCCCATGACCAAGGAGTACCACTGCATTAGCTGCCCAATGCGAGGATCCGCCTCCCATCTAGCTGAACATTATCTAGGTATGAGTAATGAATGGTTGCGTGAGTTTAATTTAAAGGCATACTAGGCCCATTGATTACGCAATGTTGACGAATGCTAGAGTAACTGGCACCTTGTGTAGTTAATAAGTACATAACCTTATAGCCAAACGCGTATTAGTTTGTCCAATATCACTGCTGGTTACATTACAAGCAAGACTTGAAATCGGTTGTTGATATTCATTTACGTGCCGTAAATGTTATCCAGGAGTCAAGCGATGATGTAAACATTTGTGCGGCCCGTATGTTTTGGACGCCAGATGAAATGGAGGTGTCAGCGGTGTAACCACGGCCACGGACTAAACATGGAAATGGAGTAAAACACGTACTAATCACGGACGCACATGGACAGCCCTGACAAAAAGTTCCTTATCACGAGCGTCCGTGTTTACAAAATCACTGGTGATAGCATTGCGTACGGCCGAGCATGCGTGCGAAAATGTTCGGTGCACTATAAATCTGTATCACACCCGCTTCGCCGGCAGCGGTTTGAAACTGTAAACAACTGATTTCTTGGACTGCGGATTTCAATTAGACATTTCTTAGTAACCAGCAGTGATATTGAACAAACTAATACGTGTTTGGATGTAAGGTTATGTACTTATTAACTACACAAGGTGCCAGTTACTCTAGCATTCATCAACATTGCATAATCAATGGGCTTAGTATGCCTTTAATATCGACACAATATCGCCACTTCTGTATCATATTTTATTGCTGTTATATAATTATATAAGTCTGTGCGTTATGGATGTATGTACACCTATTTGTAATTATTCCTTATATTGTAATTTGTTTCAGTTTATTCTCAATTCCTGTTAGTCTAGCACACGAGTTGCAACATGTGAATTTATCAAAAATCGGAATTATTAATAAGTCGTATGTCTTATGTTATTTGCACAGGGGTCCACCTAAACACAAAGTGTTTTATCTGCCCGATTTGCTCATACAGTAGCTCTTGGGTGCGTGGCCTACTCAATCATGTTGAGACGTCGCACCAAGAGAGTGTCGATAAGGCAGACCTTGTCAAGAATGTGCCGATATACACTGAAGTGAGTATTGCATGCTTTGAGGCATTTGAAAACTAATGGGTTATGCAGGTGATTTTCACGCAGCTTGAGATGAATGAGGTTAGGTAACGTGCCGTCTCGACAGGCATTCCGAGGTAATCAACCAAGGTAAACAACCGTGTAGCATTGGTTGTTTCATTAATGCTTGTATTGAGGCATGTTAATAAAGGGCATGAAAAATTTAAATATCACTTTACATACTTTAGTATGGGACTGGCAACCGCAGTCATGTATTATGGATATGTTATGTATGTCTTACTGCACATCAGTTTTAAGCTCATCTTTATCACATCAGCTTGTAGAATCGCATGATTGTCCGTCCGTGCGTGCGTGCGTGCATCTGTCCGTCAACAGTTGGGCACAAATCTAAACGGCTCGACGTACGGTCACGATATCCGGGACGTGGGGGAGTAATCCGAAAACGAGTTGGGATGTCGAGGCTGGGGGTCAAAGGTCAAAGGTCAAGAGGTGTAAAATAAGGGGGAACATTCCCTCCTTAACTTAAGGTATAGGGAGGAAATGCAGAATTGCGGCACAAATCTAAACGGCTCGACCTAGGCTCGTGATAGTTGGTGTATAGCATCATGGTAGGAAAAGAGGTCACAGGTCAAAGGTCAATGGGGCACAGGGCAGATTTTAGACATTTTCTGAGGACATCGTCGTACGGAGCGATTGAAAAACTTTTTTGTTTCAGCGATGCCCTACCATTTTTATGGCTTTATTGAAAGGACCATGAAATGTACTTTCCGCTGACATGCGACAAGTGTCGGATAACATTTTGACCCTTAAGAGGAGGGCTAAACATGGATTTGTTTACTGTTAGAAAGAATTTGACTGTCGGGTTTGCTAGTAGAATCTATACATGCCTGGATGTATGAGGCTACAATGTCACAGTGAAATTTCAAAAGCTAAATTTGGTTGAAGAAGGTTTATGCTCCTTAAATCGTATAATTTCTATGGCATTCTGTACTGTCAGTGTGTTACATGTAACTTATGCCACTGCCAGTGGCCACATACCAGTGCATGTGGTGGTGATAGTACTGTGTAGTTTTTGCCTGCGTTAATTAGTTACAGGTGGTAGCTCTCTATTTTAGCCTGTAGGCTTGCATAGGTAAATGGATGAGTGCTTACCTATTCTGTCTTGCAAATAGTTGTTGCTACTACGTACGATGGGAGCTTCCATCTTTAATCTTAAGACACTTCAACGTACACGCCATCTCGTGGCAACTTTCATAACGATTCCAACGAACATTCCTTCTAGAAGGGTCCTGATACCATCCCTGTGCCTTCCACTGTTTCGGCGCATATGTGAACACATTTGGGACTAACAGGGTTTACTAGAATCCCACCACTCCACCACAGAGTCACCGCAGTAGACGTGAGATGAGCGCTGTCGCTCCGCGGCACTTGTTTAAATAATTTATGCTCAGTCTGGGAAAATGCTTAGTTTCGTCTGTTTAATCTCCCTGACTACGGGTCTGGTGTAATATCTTATATTTTTATGTCCTGTAATACATATATATATATATATATATATATATATGTGTGTGTTTGTGTGTGTGCATAAAATTGCACCGCTGAATTATAATATATGTATGCAAATATGTACGTATAAAGTTTGACTCCTGAAGTATAACGTATATCTGAGACGATGTATGCGAAACTTATGTTGTTACTGTACGTGAATGAATATATATATATAGAATAGTATAATACATGTAAAATTTGACCCCCGATGAAGGTACGTATGTATTCAAATATGTACATATAATGTGTATCTGAAATTCAACTCCCCTTTGCTCTTCCAGGTGATCACCTTGCTCAAGCACCTGAAGAAGCTGTCAAACTTCATCACGGGCATGACGGACGACGGCCCGAAGAAGTACCGCTGCAACGTGTGCGGCTACGAGACGAATCGCGGCGACCTCGCGCGGCGACACTCGCTCACGCACAGCGGCGAGCGGCCGTTCGCCTGCTACGTGTGCCAGCAGAAGTTCAAGCGCGTCGAGCACATCAAGAAGCACTTCCTGCGGCTGCACACGAGCGCCACGTGGGACTCGACGAAGGTGATCCGCTTCAACCGGGACAACTCGAGCGGATACAAGTACTTCACGACGATCGACCTGCCGCGACCGCGCAAGTCCGGCGGCGGCGAGCTGAACGGCGACGGGCTTCCCGCGCAGGGCTACCTCGACGTCGACGACCTCGTCGAGGCCAGCGAGAGCTGGAAGCGCAAGGAGTTCGACTGGGTCGACGACGACGTCAACGACGCGGACGACGGCGGCGGTGCGGCGAAGCGCTTCCATGCGGACGAGGTCGTCGAGACCGCCGCTGCCGCGAACCTGACGCCGTCGAAGGGCCGGCCGCGGAAAAGCGCGCGGCTCGCAGCCGACGCTGCGGCGGCCGCGGTCGCGGAGAAGACGGTCGACAAGACGCTGTTTGCGATCCGCGACGACGTCGCCGAGAAGATCTCGAAGACGAAGCTCGCGAAGAGCCTCGAGCGGGACGGCGCGGCGTCGCCGCCTATATCGCCGCACGTCTCCGTCGAGTGCACGAACGGAGCCGGCGCGGCCGCCCCGCCTCCGCCGCCGCCGCCGCCGGTTAAGACGCTCAAGTACACGTGTCCGCAGTGTCCGTTCTTCGCGATGGACAACTGGCACCTGCAGCGGCACATCCGCGCGCGCCATGTCGCGCTGAAGCCATTCCAGTGCGCATTCTGCCGCTTCCGCGCCACCTACTGGGACCGTGTGCTCGTGCACGCGCGTCGCAAGCACGACCGATTGAAGTGCGACCGCTGCTCGTTCTACGGCGAGGGTGAAAAGCAGCTGCTGCAGCATCGCAACGATGAGCACTGGGAGTCGCTGTTCAGGCAAGTTGGCTCGGCGAGGTTTTGCGTGCGCATGGCTGATGATTGCACGTATCACAGTGGACAAATCGCCTCATCGTGTATCGTTTTGTTCGTTTTTAGCTCGCCTTGACATCGTCAAGATGAGCTATTGCCATGGGGTGTCGTCCGTCGTACATCCGTCCGTCCGTCAGTCCGTCCGTCCGTCAACATTTGGTTACGGTCAACGATAACTCAAGAACCGTTTGACCCACATGTTTCAAATTGCATGCAGTTGTTACTCCTATGGGAGAGGTTTGAACGTCCTATTTTGGAGCACGCACGTCAACCTACTTTCGAGCCACGTCCACTTTTTGGCAAAAATGGAAATGGCCATAAGTCAGTTCAGGTTCAACGGATTTTGCTCATATGTATGTGAATGAATAAGCACTGGCCCCAAAACATATCACACGGGTTTTGATATTTTTTTTAATTTATGCAAATTAGGTAGATTTTGGCAATTTCACTATGCATTTCAGTGTCTGCCTACGGTCAACGATAACTCAAGAACCGTTTGACCCACATGTTTCAAATTGCATACAGTTGTTACTCCTATGGGAGAGATTTGAACACCCTATTATGGAGCACGCTAGTCGACCTACTTTCGAGCCACGCCCACTTTTTGGCAAAAATGAAAATGGCCATCTAATGGAATATTCGATTTTGGTATGTGAATGTGTAAGGCTAGCCCCAAAACAGTTGTTACTCCTATGGGAGAGATGATTTACGTCCTATTACGTTTATTTCGTCTAACTGGTTAACAACTCTACAATCATACCTATATATACATGTAATATTATGTTTTAGATTCTTCGTTACAGTAATTTGACTGGAATATTTTATTGTTTTTATTTGCGTGATATTTGAAAACCAAAATGGCGATCATTTAGGCGTAGCGCCATCTCTCGTAAAGATGTCAGACTTTCAGATCTGAAACATTTATTTTCGCATCAAAACTTATGCATATATCATTATCAAAAGTATATAATGGGAGATATGCTATATAATGGGAGTTCTTCCCATATATACTCTTGCTTTATATATCCCCCCGCCTTCTTTTATCACACCCAAGGCCAGCTACAGTGTCATTGACACTTTCATTTTTTCCACGACAATGTAGACCGGGAGCTGTCGTAAAAGCATGTTTTGTCCACGTTCAACTGCTAATTGTGCTAGAGACTGGATAATTTGCAGTTTTATATCATTCAGTTAGTTTTTTGTGTGTGGCTGAATGTGGACTAGGAGGTAAAGCAAGTTCAGCACGTGTGCAGCTGCTTCTTGCACGTGTTGCAGAGTTGCGAACAATTGTGACATCGTATCTTGTTCAGTTTGTTCTTCTTCAGTATAGGCTCGTCACTGAAAGCACATGACGTGCATGTGCATGTGAGCGTTGCGCATAAATGTTGTGTGCACGATCACATGATTTCGATGCAAATAGTTTTGGTTTCGATTTGGTTTCTCGGAGGCGCTGAGGATTACTACCTGATGCCAACGTGGAGATAGTCTAATATGAATGTTTAATAACTGATGATGAATTATTGCTAATAGGGAAAATAATGCATCTTTGCTAAAAATAAATCGTATAATATGGTATTATAGTTATATAATAATAGTGATAAAAATACCTGTTAATTCTAAGTATTGTCGAAGAAATGCGATTTTATAATTTTTCGTTGCGTACTAATGTTGTTTACTCTCTCTCACTGCAGATGCAAAGCTTGTGAGATGAGTTTTCGAACAAGTCAACAACTGGATGAGCATCTGCTATTTGACCACAGTGGTAAGAAATATGGAAAACCTTACTTCTAGGTAACAGTGGCCGTTTGAAACGTGTCCTTTAATGGCATGTTAGCGAATTTCAAGCGCAGAAAGGTTTACTTTTGTTTTATTTTAATTCGTAGCTAGGCTTATTAGTTTAAAAAATCTCAGTTTTAAAAGGCAGGCACCTTTTAAAGTATGAAACTCTTGCACACCTTTTTTGGAACAATATAATTAAGTTCATGTTTAAGGAATGAACTATTACAGTACTCTATAATTATGTCGGTAGATTATAGTTGGAAAACCAGGTTATGTCCTCTTTCCAGCGAAACCACCTGCCCTGCTGTACGAGTTGCCATACTGAGGCAGATGGGGTCGTTGTCGTATCAGGTACTACAGATATGTACCCGAGGTAGTTTTAGGTTGTTTAGTATTATGTTTATATTTTTATATGAGGTATGTTTAGGGTTAGGGTTAGTGTTAGGGTTAGGGTACACTTCTGTAGTACAAGTCTGGTACACTTTGTGTATACATATATGTACCTCGGGTACATATCTGTAGTACCTGATACGACAACGACCCCTTGAGCCATACTGAGTGTGCCTTCTAATTTGATCGCAGCAAATTACTACTTGTGTTGCTTGATTCTACTCGCCTTTTTTAAAGCTTTATCAATGTACATGTTAATGTTACATTCGTGTAGGGTGTGAAGTAGTGTGTCGATTACTATTGTTATTGTTGTTTTTGTTCCTTTCATAATCTTTCCTTCATCTTTCATATTGGTTTTATCTTCATCAAATGATTCTGTGCAGCATGCCCTGTTTGTGTGCAATACCAACTATGTATATATATTATCAAGAGCGTATAAAGAAGGAGAGCGTACAACGGTGAAATGCTGAAACCATGTTGCAGTATGTCGAATTAATAAACTTTCCCCGTTTTATTTTGACGATTCTTTGCAGTATTATTGATCAGCTGTCCTACCTTGTTAATATAAAACAAACCGCATGTCCCTACGAATCTGGTATTTTCGCTGAAAACCGACTCGAGATCACTTTTTACTGTGACTGTCTCTCGCTTTGTGGCCAGTGTATTGCTTCCGGTCGCTGCTATGTAGCGCCATGGTAGCGCTGACTCACGTCAGTACTATAGAGTTTACTATACACAAAGCTATACATCCAGCGTGAGGTGGGCACAGGTGGGGGTCATCACTATGGCAATCAATAACAGACATCATTCATTCCATTTGTCAATCATTGACGGAAACACGCGAGGTTTCCCGAAGTTATCTCAAAGAGAGAGACTGTCATAGTAAAAAGTGATCTCGAGTCGGTTTTCGGCGAAAATACCAGATTTCCACCGCTCATTATCTCAGCGTAGGGGCATCGTAGGGACATGCGGTTTGCTTTATATTAACAAGGTAGGACAGCTGATCAATAATACTGCAAAGAATCGTCAAAATAAAACAGGGAAAGTTTATTAATTCGACTAATACTGCAAGATGGTTTCAGCATTTCACCGTTGTACGCTCTCCTTCTTTATACGCTCTTGATATTATGTATATATACGTACGTGTGTGTGTGTGTCACTGTAATATATATAGTTATATACGTTACTCTTTGATACACTGCATCGTATAACTTTTCTCACGTGCAGTCTACAGACATTCCCATGAGATAATACAAGAGAATTGTGTGAAAGTGTAAAAGTATGGGTAGCAAAGTTTAAAACAAGGACACTACTGTTATAGACCTCTCAGTTACTGCAGTCGTGTCCATGATATATCGTAATATGCATCGTATTGCGGCCCAAATATCGCGATGCATGTCGTATCGGCATCGCACGGCAGAACACGCCGCCGCTAACGCGCGCACGCTTCGTACTCGCAGGCACGGCGAAACCCGTCAACAATGACAGCAGCAAGGCGAGTCGTCTCGACGCTCAGTCGTCGTCCTACGCGACGCCGCTGCCGATCTCGGACGCCGCGTTCCCGACGTCGGCGTTCGTCGGCGCGACGTCGGCGTTTGTCGGCGCGACGACGCGGGCCGCAGCAGCAGCCGCAGCCGCCGCGAGCCAGCGTTCGCCGAAGATGCTGCCCGGCGCCATGTTCTGGAAGAAGCAGATGTGCGAGTTCTGCAGCAAGTACCTCGCATCGCGCAAGGGCCTGCGCGCGCACAAGAAGTTCCACTGCAAGACGCTGAAATGCTCCGGCTCGCTCGCGAGCCCGACCGACCTCACGAACGAGACGACGCCCGATGAAATCATCCTGAACTCGTGCTACGACCGCAGCGCCTCCGCCGTCTTCCCCGGGATGGAGGAGGACGAGGAGGACGAGGAGGAGGAGGACGACGACGACGACGACTCGATCGAGGTGCAGCGGCTCGAGGACGACGGCGACGCGAGCGGGGACGCGAGCGACGAGGCGGCGGCGCGCGGCGGCGGCGGCGGGGAGGACGAGGCGAGCGACAACGCGTTTCAGTGCTCGCTGTGCGCGTTCTCGTGCCCGACGCGCGCCGAGATGATCGCGCACATGGAGGTGCACTGGGGCATGGCCGACGGCGAGAGCGACGACGACGACGACGACGGCGTCGACTCGTCGTCGGACAGCCTCCCCGAGGACACGTCCGGCTACCCGTTCGGGGATCACACGAGCGACGAGCTGTACCGGCTCGCGCGCGTCGCCCTCGCTGCCGCCGCCGCCGCACCCGTCGAGTCCGAGAGCACGTCGTGCGAGGGTGCCACCGGCTGCGAACTCGACGCGGAGATTCTCAAGGCGAAGCTCAAAAAGGACCTGTTCATGCACAAGGGTAACGGCCGGAAGACGCTGGACGAGCTGTTTCCGGCACCGACGTCCCGGGACGGTGAGGACGACTCCGATAAAGATCTGGCTTCCGAGTTGAGCGGACAGGACGTGGTGAACGACTCGCAATAGCAGTTCCTAAGTCCGGCGGAAGTCCGCGCGTACTATGTAAATTCTGTGCCAGTGCTATGAGACAAACCGAGTACACAGTACAACCTTTTGTTGTAGGAAAAGAATAATATATAATCATGGAGTAGAGTCATCAGGACCTTTCAAATTTTAGTTGGAAGTGACTGCTATGGAAAGATAGATATATATTAGAAATTTCATAGTACAATCAATATTTCGACTGGTACTGCAACTAATATAACTGATATTGCGTAGCCAATGTGAAAGAAGCTAGTGATGGTGCTTCGACATTGATAAGTGAAGCATGTGCCTGAGCGTAGTTCTCACTGTTACTGTGTGTAGCCACACGGAGAACGTCCTAGTATCAACAACAGTATTATCAATATTTAATATGTCATCTCTGTCCGCTGGGACGCGCAAACTGTGTTACGTGTACAATTATACATAGTTTACTAAAGCCGCGCGTTTGGCCTCGAGATGTTTTTGTACGTATGTGGTGGCGTTCTGAGGCAGTAAAGCACTGCTTGCAGTGACAGCGTTCAACTAATCAAACCAGGATTGACAGTAGCCGGTATCTCTTGTGATTTGGCTTTGCTCACTGGATTACCGATTCATGTCCATTTGCTCAATACTGTATATAAAGTATAATAACACTTTATAGTATCCTGCTGTCTTATCTACATACCATGCAGAATCTAGCAGGCTAGATTTATTATCGAATACGTGTAATACATTCCCCTCTACCCTTTCTTCCTGTTTGAGACGTGATGATCATAATTACGTCGCCGTAGTTGCGTTAGTGTTAACAGAGTTCTTAGCCACTTGTTACTGTTGGTTGGTTGGTGGCTAGTCTCCCACCAAACTGCCTGGGTCGATCCATGTCAAGTTGATTTTTAAGTTTTAATGTACATCCAACAGTAAGTGAGACTTTATTTAATTCGGCAAGGATGTACAGCGTAACTTTGTAAATATTATTACCGACTGAATTACTTGTGTTGTCTTTACAGGGTACAACTAAACAACATGGTGCCAATATAGTATGGTGAATATCGAAGGTATGATGCCATAGAATGAAAATAGGATCAAATTATTTATGGCTGTTATTGTAAAATGAATGGTCAAACATGAGGAGTGTAAAATATAACGTGGATTTGATCTTTACACAAAATTTTAATAGTTGGTCTTCTTTGTAAACAAATAACAATTATTTCCATATAATTCAAAGCAAATAATCACATTGGGTATGTAGGCACATATGACTACAACATATGACTACAACAAATTACAGCTTAACAACTGAACGTCTGTTACACTGCCAGGTCCATTGATAAGTGAAGCTCAGCATTGCACACAGATACACAGAGACCTAGCTAGATAGTTCTGAACCTGAGACTGGCCAGAAATTGCCTATCAAACACTTGGTACTTATCGAATGCATTCGTATCACACTTGGTACACATCGTCTCATGCTCGAATATCCGATTATCATGGTTTTTCAAAGATACTATACCATAGGAGACGGAGTGGCACCAGATAGGGGGCAGTGGGGTTACAGCCCTCTTCAAGCCCGCCACAGAGGCTCAACCAGCACCCTACCCCACTAGGGAATGACTCGCCGTCTTTTTATCTTCAGCGCTGCACTTGGTCGCATTCCCTTGCGAAAACAATCAGCAAGATGAAGGGCCGCTTTATATGTTCACATCATTATTACATGATTATCACAATATATCAATGGTTGTATATAGTTATAGCAATCTTCTTCCTGATAGATACGTTAAAGATGCCATTTAAAACTTTCAAATTTAGAAATAAAACGGATCTTAAAAATCTTAACTTCTAATTTCGGATACATAATGTGAGTATATAAACCGTGGACCTCATCCCCTCTATAACACAATATCTGGTGCCACCCCCGAATAGATATCTGGATTATTTATATACACAGGTGTCTGGAGTCTTGCTGCAAAGGTGGCGGGTGAAAGAACAATGCTAGGAACAACAGAGCCACATTCTGATGAAATTAACCCAGGCCTATAAACATTGTCACACCAACGTACCCCTCGAAAAGTACAATATACTGCAGAGACACACGTGTCTGCACATGAAGTCAGATACACCTAGACTACGATATACTATGCAGGGACGTAATTAGTCTCTCTATGCACACACAGACAGTCTCTTCTCCCCAAGTACGATAAGTTTGCAGGAATGTAACTATCTGTGCATAGAGTTGGGTGCTTCTCATAGACTACCATAATACTCGGAAGAGTATTTCGCTCACCGAGTATAAAAATGCCCTGTAGGAACACAGGTCACTGAATATAATGTTGGGAACTCCTCAGATAAGATGAAAGAGTATAAGGCTTAGTACGACCGTGACCGTCCACGCGAGCCGACAACGGCGACCGTCTAAGAGGGCCGCCGACAACGATGGCGACGGTCTACGCGAGCGGACGACGGCGGCGACGGTCTACGCGAGCGGACGACGGCGGCGACGGTCTACGCGAGCGGACGACGGCGGCGACGGTCTACGCGAGCGGACGACGGCGGCGACGGTCTACGCGAGCGGACGACAGCGGCGACGGTCTACGCGAGCGAACGACGGCGGCGACGGTCTACGCGAGCGGACGACGGCGGCGACGGTCTACGTGAGCGGGACCTTCGTCTGCACCTCGTCGAGCAGCCGATGCCAATAGGTGGCGCGCGACTCGGACGCGGTCATGCGAGGCACGGCGACGCGCTCGCGCTGCAGCACGGCCTGCAGCTTGCGGTCGGTGAGCAGTGGCGCCGGGTCGATGCCGTGCTTCTGTATGAGCTCCGCCAAGTACTCGGTGTAGTGCACCCTGCGGAAAGAATGACCGTCGCAGACGTGTTCGCTCACCGAGATCAAAATGCCCTTGTAGGGAGACCAGCAGGTCACTGAATATAATGTTGGAAACTCCTTTAGATAAGATGAAAGATAAAAGGCTTAGTAACGAACCGGTTACCGTCGCACTGCGAAGCGCCGACAACGTGCGGACCGGTCTACAAGGGCCGCCGATCAAAGCGGATGGCGACCGGGCCTACGCGAGCGGACGACGGCGGCGACTGTCTACCGCGAGCGGGACGACGGGCGGCGAACGGTGCTAAATGTCCGCGCGTCCCGCGGTCGAACTGCTAGTGCGCCGCAGGCGTGTCCGTCGGCTGCAAACATACGGACGACCGGCGGACCGGTTCTAACCGAGCGGGACGACGGCGCCGGACGGTCTAACGCGCCGGCAGGACGACGGCGGCGACGTTCGATCGCGAGCGGCACGAACGGCGCGGCGACGGCTTATGCGAGCGAACGACGCGGCGACCGGTCTTACCGCGAGCGGACAACGGCGGCGGACGTCCTACCCGAGCGTGACGACGGCATGGCGAACGGTTACGCGGAGCCGGCACGCATCGACGGCGACGGTCTATGTGGGCGGACGACGGCGGCTGACAGGTCTACGCGAGCGGACGGCGCGGCGACGTCTACGTGAGCGGCCTTTTCGCTGCAACCTTCGTCGAGCAGCCGAGTGCCAAGTAGGTGCACGCACTGCGAGACGCGTCATGCGGGGCACGGTCGACGCGCGTCGCGCTGCAGCACGGCCGCAGCTTAGCCGGTTCGTGAGCAGTGGCGCCGCGTCGATGCGTGCTTCTGTATGAGGCTCCGCACAAGCGTACTCGGGTATGTGCACCCTGCGGAAAGAATGCACCGTCGCAGACGTGCGCAGAATAACATAATGGCGGGCCAGGTTGTCCACAGACGTGTACGTAAACATAATAGCGCAGGTTGGTGCACAGACGTGCTACTGGGATAACATAATATGCGGCATGTGTGTCACAGACGTGTTACGGGAGTAACATAATAAGCACGGGCTATGATTAGAACAGTAGGTTCCTTATAACCTTTTCTGAGTCATGGACCCCTTTAAGATCTGGTGAAAGCCTACGGACTGCCGCCCTCCCCAGAAAAATGCACATAAGCACAACATTTTTATGCTGCCTGTTTCACCGGACCCTTGACCCCATCACGGACCTCATAGGGTCCACCTACCACAGATTAAGAACCATGCCACTGCACTAGTATGTAGAGAGTGCATTTTATGCTCTAATAGAACTAGTAGTAAATAAGTAGTAGTCTGTGTAGTGAAGTGTCCAGAATTAAAAGGATTAGTGTTGTTTTTCCTGAGGTATCGACTTCGTCGATGCACGGCTACCAGTCACACACACATTATTTATTTATGTTATTTATATTATATTATTAGCGAGCAGCATTTGACAACAAGCTTGTGATAGACAGTCGTAATTTAATTGTAATTATTGTCGTGATAGAATTGAATGACTTTTCCACTGTGTAAGCCGTGGCTGGGCAAAATGGTACATAAGGCATGCCCCCAGCAGTGTACATCTCACATGGCCAGCACTCCAGCGGCGGGCTTATGTATACCTGCATGAGTCCTGGGCACTGTTCGCACTCCTTGCTTGCCGCACTTATGCTGTCATATGTCTTCTCCTGCCTCATTTGTGCCCTGTAGCACGGACCTGACACCTTTGTTCCCCCTTCTGAAGCAACACACATTCCAAAGTAATTGTTATCGTGTGTAAGAATATCACACACAAGACGATTTAGAGAGCCTCAATTAATATTATTTTTAGTGGGCACCCAATTATTTACCTACGTATTATGTAGTCGTAACTATATATCATTAATCAAAGTTAGTTAATTAAATGTAATGGTAGTAAGTGCCCGTGTCAATATTGTAATAATATTTTGGTCAAGCGTTTTGATAACATAATGCTGCCTGGCAATTCTGTAATGCCAAGCATGACAGCCTTACTGTGAAACTGCCATCTGACAGCGTTTTTGAAATGTGATACCATAGTCTGTTCCAAGAAGAACATATTCCATCAAACATTGACACAAGTTTATTGTCAAATGTCATCAGTACAGAATGCAAGGTGCCAGGTCCAAATTCAATCCCTGTTATATATCTATCTA